CTTTTCGGACGAACATCGACTGCAACACCTACATATGCTGAAAAAAAAAGTAAGAAAAATCATTAGTTTTTTGTGATATGCTTCAGTTTGAATGTATAGTTGTGTAATGAATACATTTGTGGTAATAGTTTGATTTACCTATTTCAGTGTCCATGTCTATGTACTTGTGAAGTTCATCAAATGTTGTAAATTGGAAACATGATTCCACAAGAGAGACGTGGTTTTCATTAACTTCTTCTATCCGGGTTGAACCACTAATTGTCCATTGTGTATTCCCACAAGTTGATCTAAATTGTTCACTTGTTTGCTTCACATATGCATTTGAGATCAAGTAGGTCTTTGATGGTACCAATGTATTTTCAAGAGCCTTAATGTTCTGAGGAAATACAGTTGCTTGAACTTTGTTTTCCTACATGAGTTATTAAATGTAAGATAAAATGTAACATAGTAAAGTTATTTTTAAATTTATGTAAGTATGAAAAATAATTCAAACAGAGAAATTCAAACATTTTAGTGTTAAAATGCGCAGTTTGATGTATGGTAAATTTGAACACATTGTTTTATTTTTTCGACATGAAAAAGAAAAAAAAAATTAGACAGATAAGTTTTAACATTTAAGTTTTATTAAAATGAGCAGTTTGGTGTATGGTAATTTTGGACACATTGTTTTAGTTTTTCAACTTCAAAGAGGATAAAAAAAGCAGTTCATATAGCACGAATTTTGAAGAAGATATGAATGATTTTTAGTAAGAAATAATAATTTCATACTGTTAGACACAATCTTGTAACTCTTTCATATAAACACAGAGATGACCATGTTCTCTCATTAATCAGAGCTGATGGTAATGGGAAAAAGCAGAGTACTAAAGTGGAATACAATATTGTATTCTAATTGAAGAAAGAAAAAATGAAGTATGAACATTTTATTATCTGTAGAAACTTACAGTAGTGTCCATTAACCAAAGATGTTGATACATTCCATTTCCCTTTTGTGATGATCTTGAAGCCGTTTTTTCCACAACTACTACTTTACACGTCCATCCGGTTTCTCGTGTTGCTATTTCAGGAATTAATTTGTAATTTGATTCCATGCTCATAACTGGAAAATGAAAATAAGAGACAAAAATTAAAAGATTGTTGGAAACTTAGTACTATAATAGTTGTTATTATTCATATATTATTCATACCTGTATGGGTGTAAGAAAGAATCAAAAATGTAAACAAAGAAAGAAAATCATTTATTTTGCTTCTTGTATGTGTGTAAAATAAAAGCTGTTTTTCCTCTTTTGAGTCAATAAGAGAGAAGGAAAAATGTAAACAAAGAGAGAATTGGTTACCTTGCTTCTTGTGTTACTGGAGAATAGAAGTTGTTTTTTCTTCTTCAGGCTCTTGTAGAGGATGTATTTACTTATGCATATAAAAGCTTGTGTTTGTGTAAGTATATAATAATAAGGTCTTGAAGCACACAAATAAAGAAATCAGCTGTACAGTGACCGGATTTGCTGTGTGTAAGAGACCATGCTGTCTTGTAAAAATAGAAGCTACTTTATGTTTTGGAATGGATATGTTATAGACGTGTTTGTGTGTATTTGTGGAATACTACAACTGTAGAGCACA